AGACACAAAGGCATAAAAAAGGTAAGATGAGTACTCCGAATATGAATAATAGTAGGGTCATAGAAATTTGAAGTCAGAAGTCAATTTTTTGCCGAGTAAGTATACGTTGCCCAGGGTGCACCACGTGGAGGTAAGTCTATTGCGCACCCCCATTCCACATTTATATAGATGAAAACAATGTAAAATTTACCATTCACTTTCTCATTTCAGAGTAACTAAATTAAAATTCAATAAAAGCTTAGATTTCTTTAAAACAATAAACCTAGTTTCATTGTAGTATAAAGAAACCCTGGTTGTTATATATCTCATCGAATTTTTGTTACTACGAATGGCGTGATTACAAAGAGGGGAAAATTTCGTGGTTGTCATTTGGCCACAAATTAAAAAAATTAATTGAATATAAATATAAAAATAATTAGAGGAGTTAAGAAAGATTTTTGCGTATTATCAGTTTTCTACTTAGTAAAAAATTCACATCTGTGGCTCTTGAAAAACTTTTTTTTGATAATTTTTCATTCTTTCCAACTTCAATTGATGGAAAAAAATTTCACTTACTCGTTGGGATTGAAGAAGATTGATGGTTATTAAAAATTTTGAGAAATTTATTTCTCCGAATAAATTTCAACTAATTTTGATACTAGAATTAATAAAATCTTCAATTCCTTCATATATTTTTTCGAAGAAAATTCGACGACTAGATTTTAAACCCCAACGAACAATAGGGATATTGTCTCAGCCATATTCAATCTCCCAGTGCAAACTTCAAATTATATTTGTTCGAAAAGGGGTGTGCGATAGACTTACCTCCGCGTGGTGCACTCTGGGCAACGTATACTCATACGGCAAAAAGTCTATTAATCGACAGTTGACTTCTGACTTCAAACTACCAAGACCCCACTGCATTTCATATTCTACTAATTAAACAGTACCCATCTTTTTTCTACCTTTGTACCTGTCTGTCTCTTTTACGTCTGCGAATCAATATTCTGTCCCCCCTCTCGACTTTTTGCCACTTTGGTGTTCCTCTTCCTTTCTGTGAAGCCCGAAGTCAAATAAAGGGCTAATGATACCTATCATAACGCTTGCCATTTGAAATAAATAAATAAATAAATATTTGTTCGAAACTGGTAGATTATCCATTGATTCCGCAAACATTGACGGGATTCGGTTCCTTATGTTAATCCTTTTCATGGATTATTCATATAGTCGGGTGATCAACTAATCGGCGACTAATTATTGATTACCTCAATCATTCTCAAATCAACCTTCTCATCCAGTTTTAATTTCCCATTCGATCACATTCGTTTCTCGCGATTACGTAGTCTGTGTTGGAACCGCAATTTGTAGATCATGTTAACAAATAGATTGACGTGAATAGTTTGTCGTTTCCCTTGGGCGCAGTTTAAGTCCTTCCAACAATGAGATGTGTAGCGGATTGCTACGCTAATAAAGCCTGACTGACTCAGAAATCTCTATGGCAGATTCTCCAATATCTAGCTAGACTCCCAGAACCAGCTAAGCTATAGCCCAGCTATAAAGGAAGCAGACGTGTAGCACGGAGCACGTTTATTCAGGACGTATTTTGCGGATCAAGTGTGTACACGCAGGGAACTACTCATGATCAGGATGGGGGATTAGGTTAAACAGAGGTTGATGATTGGTCACTGTTTGTACGGTCGCTGCGTACAGAGTTGTGCGGCCGCACCTCCCAATCCTGGCGAGCAGACATGCAGGCATACGATGACGCACAGAGCGATAATGTGTCCCACAGCTGTAAAATGTGAATACGGTTAAGATAATTCAAATGGAAGAGAGGTTGTCGTAAAACAGTAGAAATAATGTCAATATGATAAATCAGGTACCGTTTATCTAACAAGTAATAAACGATCACATAATTGCAATTTAACAATAATTTGCTATTTTTTTGATAAATAAGTTTTGAGGTGCTGGCGATTCAGATTAAACTTGAGAGTGTAATTTCAGCTATAGTTAATCATTAAAATACTCAAATAAGCACAATGACCCTAGATACGGAAGTACATATTCGGAAGAGCAAAGGATTCATTGAAAACTTGCTTGGTAAGTATAAAATCGATAAAAAAGGAGTATGTGACGAAATAACTGTTGTTTTCGAAGTCGAAAATCGCGATTTATCTGGAGATATGAAGGAGGGTTTGCTTATTCCAAAATTTTGTTAGACTCCTTAAGAAGGTTTGAAACCTTCGAAGTGGGTGAATATTAATAACTCTTCGGAACTATTTACCCATTTCTATATAAAATTTATTTATATCAAATGGCAGGCGTTTTGATGGCTATCATTAGCCCTTTAGTTAACTTCAGGCTTCACAGAGGGGAAGGAACATCAAAGTGAAAAAAAGTCGGGAGGAAGGAGGGAGGGAGGAACAGAAGAGTGTTTCAAAGACGTAGATAGAAAAGGTAGAAAAAAGGTGAGGTGAGAACTGTGGAAGTGGTGGAGTATGATATACAGTGGTGCCATGGTAGTTTGAGGTGAGAAGTCAACTGCCAGTTAATAGACTTTTTTGCCGTATGAGTATACGTTGCCCTGGGTGCACCACGTGGAGGTAAGTCTATCGCACACCCCATTTCTATATAAAATAATAAATTGTTATTTATTTTAGGAAAATGCTAGAGAAAACTAATGAAAGGTAATGAATAAATTTGTTCACGAGGTGACGAAAAGGTTTCAGTCCTTCCAAACTGGAATCGTGACACCAAATCTTGCGCGTTTCTCAAAAAGCACTTGATCAGTTCTTTATAGCCATTTAAAAGAGATGACATGCGTCTTTAACGTTTCTGATATTTATGATAATGAGATTTAAAAAGTCTATTGACTGTTTTTCAAGTTTAAAAGGTTTAAATTGCTTATGACAATACAAATTGATTGTCATTTGTTAAAGAAGCAAAATTGGCTAGGTGGCTCTATTTGAATAAGTGATTACATAAATAAAATTTAGAAAACAATTATTTAGGAGAAGTGTGGGGTTAGTTGACACATCGAATTTAGGTTTCTAAAATCATATTTTTCTCAAATCAGGCGAATCTAACCACTGGTACTTTGTAAACACCTTTCATAGTTGCACATTATGACTCTGTTGTCAACTTTGAAGATAATATTGACATTTTAGCGAACGTGACATTTTATCAAACCCCTTGGAAGCACCAAACGGTCAAATAACTTCCCCGAGAAATTCTCTTCCAATCGAAGGTATGGGAGAATGCTCCAGATTCTTTTGCTTATATACCGGTTTGCTACGCGAAAGTTGGCGTGCTTTGCAGATTGCGCGTTTTTAGTGTTAAGCTTATAAATTCAGCAATGCAACACAGATATCGTAAATCTGGGCAGAATTTAAATAAATCTCGTAACTCAGAGGCTGATTCTCCTGAGCAACCACCCTTTGCAGATGCCCTGCCAACTCCTACAAAACGGCCTAAGGGTAGACCGAGGAAATCATTGTCTTCCGAACAATCCCCAATCAGAAGTGCATCTAGCTCTTGCAAGCGGAAAATCGATGATGATTTGGATGCTTGCTCGCCTATTCCAAGGTTTCGACCTCGAAGGAATGCTTCGGTTAACTATAATGAACGTTTGGATGAAAGCGTTCACGGCATTCCAAAACCTCGATCATCCAGAGGCCGAGGTCATGATGAGGGAGATGAAACTCAGGAGGAGGATGCCGTGATGGCCACCATCCACAACTTGATCATAATCTAGTATAACGTAAAGCGTGTTAAGTTAGTTAGAACAACTTACGGCTTATTGTTTTTTTTCAATAATGGAAAGAATATTACTTTCGTCAAGATGAAGTGTTAAATAATTACTCACAACACCTAATATCAACCCACCACGCCTTTGTAAGCCTCGCCTTCCCAGAAAAGTTTCTTTTTCGTATTTGTTCAAAGTCCTTTCATTGATTTCATATTCCTCCCCTACGGGTGGTAGATCCGGATGCTGCTACCTAATTCTTCCTACTAGTGATTAAATTAGAGATTCTCATCGAGTTCTCTATGGGCAAGCATCCAGAGGATTTTGATTGCACCTTTCAGCCTTCTTAGCATGGCTCTCTCTTACACCTCTTTTTCGCTAGACCTGTCCTTTTTCTTTCTGTTGCTTTGGCAGTGTTACCTCCTCTTGACCTCCTCTTCGCTTTTAGTGAAATATATCATTTTTCGTTGTTTTCCACAACAACGGCAATTTTTACGGTGTAAGTTCAATGACAATCGCTTGCTACTTCCTTTGCTTTCCTTTCTAGTCGCTTTTGTAATACGCTCGTATGGGNTCTTAATTGATTGCTTTTCATTGATTTCACTTTCTATTGATGCTCGTTTTTTTAACTCTTTTTCTTTCCATGTGTCCTTGTTTGCTACGCAAATTGCTCCCGTCAGATTATACGGACGATGTCGGGTAAAGTGCATTCACTGCGAATCTGGCATTCAGTTAAAGGTGAATGGGAACTGTGAGACGGTTCGACTTGAAATCAAATTAACTTAATTGAGCCATTGTCACAGATAGGGCTCAAATTTGTGCATTTAAAGTGATTTTATAACTTGCGTCCTTCATTCTGAGGGTCTAACAACAGATATCACTTGAATAAAGTTTATAATGGCAGAAAAGCCTCAGATTTCTTTGGGAGTATTGGTGGGCCTATTACAGATCATCTATTTTTCATCAGACAGTGAAAAGGTTTTGAAGTTTGGATGACTTATCACCAGACAACAAATCGGGAAGAATTGAGACTATTTCATCAAATTTTAGGTCCAAATATATCTTTGGGTGGATGACACATTTTCAGTAAGTTCTAACCTCCGTAACAGCAGTCTAACCTTTGCATTTTCTGGGATGTCAGCGAGAGATCGTTTCGGATAAAATACACATATTTCCCACTTTTTAAACCAGCGCAAGTTTGATATTCTTCTATTTCATAGTGAAATTCACGAACTAGTAGAACTTGGGAATCTGGTGGTGTTTCAATAGGAAATTACTCATGTTTAGGTTCGGTGTTTTTTCTCCACCCTCGATTCCCAGTATTCGTGATGTTTTTTCTCAAAAAAAAGTAATTTTGCTCTTGTTTTTTTTCTTCGGTTCGATTTCAGCATCTTTGATATTTGAGCAAATTTCATAAGTATTTAAGGGGAGTTGCTTAGAGCCCGTCGTTGTCAACTTCTACAATTTCCAAGCCGATATTCCATCTTGAAAGAAGGATAGGCACAAATCCTTGCTATTTTATGGTAAATTTCTTTTCGTTAAACTCGAACTATTGAGCACAATATGACGTAAATTGCTTTAATTCACATGAAAATAATGGGAAGTAAACTAAATAAGATAATTATTGCGTCAATGGAAAATACTAATTTTTTATTATTACTATTATTATTTTTCGGAGTTATATTTCCACCATTACTTTCACTTTCTATTTATGTTGAGGCTGTAAAGTTTTTGATATGACATCAATCAGAAGAGTAGTTTACGTAAAAACGATAAAGCAGCATTAATCTCCACTCCCCATGAAAGCCAATCTACCTTCAATCGGTCAATAATGTCTAAAATAGCCGCCATTTTCAGCGTGTATCGATGTTTTAATGCTCGGAGAAATGGTTGGATAATCAAACGCTGAAATTAGAATTCCTGGCTGCACCATATTGGCTTAAAGTGATGCCAATTTTATTATCTCTCTCTTTTTGGGTTTCGGCTGATTAAGGGTGGAAAGAGAGTGAAATCCATCAGAACGTCGACAACTTGCTTCTCCATTGATCCACACCTTATTTCCTTTAGTACTGTCAAAGTTGCCAGATTCCTTCTATTGTTTTGTAGCTGCGTGCTTGATGGCATGCACCTAACAGTCTGCTAATTCGTGTCCAAGTAGTGGAGCCTTCGAGTAATGAGTGTCCCGATTATAGCCCATTGGGATGTAATCCCAAAGATCCCGGTGGGAGGAGGGGGGGGGGGNATGGATACACGACGGCGGATTCTCCAAATCAATACCGCAAAGTGGGATCCTAAACCCGATGATCGGTTGTTGGACTATCTGGCAAGCGAGACTACTGGGTACTGTGGCGCTGATATGAAAGCTCTGACAACTGAAGCCTGCCTTTGTTGTCTTCGACGCCAACAAAGTGAAGTTGGATATCGATCTCAAATATCTCGTTGTTGATAAAATTGATTGGTGCCGAGCTCTACTAACTATCCGACCCGCGAGTATTCGTGCAGAACTTGACATAGGCAACGCTTCTTCCGCCGCTGAGGCAGCTATCGCTGCCACAACTCGTACAGCCGGAGGTCGAACCACAAATATCGCAACCTCCCCAAACTCTCCTCAAAGTCTTCTCCTTGAGCCCATAATCGCAGCAGTCACTGCACGTATCGCCCGTGCTCTTTCTGCATCCGAGAAATTCTCTGCCACTGGTTATGATTCGGAGAAATCGATGGTTAGTTGGGATTCAGGATATGGAGACGCACCGAACTCAACTCAAGCTTTATGGAACTCTCCGAAACTCATTCAACGTATAGTTGTGGAAGATAGTATTCTTCCTTCCTCTGTGTTTCCTGCTGTGTGGCAGAGACTGGAATCTGTCGAGGTTTTTACGCTCAATTTGGCTAGCCTTTACTGCGGATCGGTGGTTAGTATAATGACTTCAATCACCCAAATCACTGCAGCAGCAAAACGATCTCTAATCAATCAACTCCCTCCACATTCTTCTGCCACTTTACCCGTTGGTCACCGTTCCTCAAATTCTCCATCCACTTCTTCACATCCCCTCTCCAATCTCCAAGGGGTTGTGATTTTTGCACCCCGTTTAGACCAACTCCTTAACCGACTCTCCTCCATTCAATCCCAGTACCTCATCGAGCGGCTCCTTGGAGTCCTTGCCACGAACATCACCTCTGGGGTCAATTTCGGTAGACGTCTAGTGTTTGTCGCCACTGTGAAGAGTCTTCCGCCCACTGCAATAGCTTTGCCACCTCCGCCCTCAGATGAGCTGGTTAGGCCCATTTTGCCGACTTTGTCTCCACAAAAAGCTCCAAATGCCGTAGTTTCTGTCAGGGTACCCAACAACACCATTCCAACTTCTCTTCATAATCAACGACCTCTTGTCAATAGCATCAGTAACAACAATCCTATGTATTTCAACAACTCAAATTCACAAG